CCTGGGTTAATTATCTTAGGCAACAGAGCCATTTATCTGAATTTCTCTCTTATTGAAACAAGCTAGTGTCTTACTGTTTCTTAGTCATGCTCATATGTATGATGGAGGTGTAATCATTCCAGCTTACAAAAAATAGAACCTAGGTTTTATGTTCTCTGCCAGATGATGCCTTATTTTTAAATGTCCCTAGCAGGAAGACTGTTGACATGAGGCTTGAAAGAAGGAATTAAATGTTTTTCTATTAATCAGTCCCTCAGTTAAAGTCATCCACCCCACTCAGCTTCCCCCCCCCCGGACTGCTGACTGCCTCATTAAATAAAATGTGTGATTCAAATTAGAAGGAAATTGGGATTTTCAGATGAAAAACAACGAAGCAGGAGAAATATATAAATACCCTTTTCCAATAAAGCTCAGATCCATGCAGTTAACTGCAGATCAATAGTGACTGTCTGAAGAAACCCTTGGAGACTTAAAAAATGATTGGCTAATTCTAAGGTGACCCCGAAGGAACACTTACATTTAGTGTATTTAATTGAAATCTAAGTCAGCATTTGCTGAGTTGTTGTGAGTCCCCTCTGACCACAGTAGTCTTGTTGTCCTCCTAAATCTAAGAGCTAGTGATAGATCAAGTAAGCACTAATTCTATTTCTTTAAAAACGGGAGCCTGAGTAAGACTTGATAAGTGTTTTTGGAAGGTCCTGTTTAGGTGTATATGTAGGCCAATGGCTCTCTGGAAGCAGATATCCAATCTCACCTGAAGTCCAACACAAAAAGGCCATGTAGAACAATACTAAACCATCAGAGAGGAGGGGGGCAGCTTAAAGTGACCAATTTGGCATGCGATCCCAGCCCTCACAAAATGATTGATCATATTGTCGACAAAGTATCATTGTTTGACTGTCAAGGAGAACAAATGCTGCTGAGAAACTACAACTATAGACCAATGCAAGCTGCCTCTGCAGTGCGCTGGGAACAAGATAAAGACACTATCACAAGGATACATTCTCTGAGAGCGGTTAGTGCGATGTCTTTGTACCACAATTAGAAGGATGTGACAATGAGTTTTATAAGAGCCCGCCCAAAGAGCTGTGATGTTACAGCATCACTAGACAAAGTCATACACAGTAGCAGTTTGGTTAGTTTGGGGCTTTAGTGATGAAAAACAGAACTGCCTAGCTGTGAGCAGAAAAGCAGCTGCAGAGGAAATTCATGTATGATTATCTTAACATTTCATACTGAGAATGAAACTCTAGACGATACCAGCAAATTCAATTTCCAATGGGAGAGATTTCTGAAGCAGAATGTGTATCACGCTAAATTATTAACCATTTAAATCAGGAATCCCCAAACTCATGAACCTCTTTCTGAATTACTCATCAACCCCCAAACATTTATTATAGGGGATGTGATGATTATGAAAAATGTATATGAAAATAATTTAATAAATACTACTTTAATAACTCTTTGAAAAACAATAATGACTTCATAAACATAGGTAATAATTTAAAATATGAAAGTTATCAAATTTAAAATAACTTTTTTTACTGAAGCTGTTAATATCATAAATAGGTGGGATGCATCTGATGAGCATCAATAATGGTACTGACATATGGATGGAGACTGGTGTCTTTTAGTAGTCACCAGGCTCTTCTAGATTCAGTTTGTTTCTATTAATTACCACACATTTACTGACTCCCCTTGACACTTCCAGCCATTTATCAACTCCAGAGTTACTGATATTGACCACTTTGGGGAATTCCAATTTAAATCAATGCCAAATCTTATAGAATACAAGCTAAAACCCAGTGGAAAGGGATGGGATGAGATTAGTGAAAGGTCAATTAGAAGGAGAGAAATCAGGGTTTCCCCCTCATTTCTGCTTTAATCAATTCTCTTCTTACTTGATTTCCCTTTTATTTATTGTATAAGCTGTGCCTCTTCTATATTTCTACAAAAAAATTTTTTTCCTTACGTTATTAGACTTTCTAGAGATCCAGATGGTAGGCATTCACTTTTCAAAAACAGAAATATCATTGTATATGTTCTGAATTCTAAGAATTGTAAATATTCTAATTTTGTATTGTTCCTGGATTTTGAATTTTGGATGGCCAATGCAAACTGTAAGTGTATCATGTGCATTTGAAGCCTATCTCATTGAAACAATTCACAGAGAGCCCAAAAATTTTCAAATATTTTGTGGCTGTAATGTTAGTGCAACATAATTCTCACGACTTTCAAAATGTGCACTGTGGGTTGTTCCTGCATGAAGATGTGATTAGCAATATTTCCTTTAGCTAATGAGTCAGGTTGCCAGTGGTTTACCTATGAATTTAGGATTTAGTCAGATGTGTGATGTATTATGGATTGTACTGTGTCATATAACATGGTTAGAAGCTTTCCTTTTGTTTTTCTTCTAAACCACATATATCTATGTAGCTCCCACAGACCTCTCGAAGTCCTTATCAAACTGCCATTTGTATGGTGAGCAAAAAGGCATATGATTAAACACTTGACAGGAAATTAAGCATTGCAAATATATTTAATTTTAACTATAAGTGAATTTAATTTACATACTGGCTCATATTTTGAAATGGGATGGACTCAAAGGCTGAGGGTGAATCTTACTAGAAAATCTTTTACTTCACAGTTGTAAAGAGAAACTGTCTACACAATGATAGACCTATAGAGCTAGAAGGGGAGTTGTTTAGACCAGCATTTCTCAACCTTAGCAACTTTAAAATGTATGGAATCCTGAGAATCAGTCCATATATATTTTAAAGTTGCCAAGGTTGAGTATCACTGCATTAGACCATTGAATCTTGTTGAGAATCTTGAAATTAATGCTGGATTCCAAATAGCATTCCTGGCAAATAGTTATCTAACCTCCTTTTGAACACATCCAATGGAAGAACCGAAGGAGTTTCTCTGGGTCCACCTTTAAGTTGCTCTTACATTAGGGAAGCTTTGCTAATAATCTGCTGGCATCTTCTTCCTATAATTTAAGTTTGATTTTTCCAACCTATGATCTGGAATGCTTGGGAACATGGCTTGGCCTCATACAATATGGCATACCTTCAGGTTTTTAAAAAGTACTATCATATCCTCCTCAGCTTTAATAATAATAATAATGATAAAGTTGGAAGGGACCTTGGAGGTCATCTAGTCCAACCCCCTGCTCAGGCAGGAAACCCTATACCATTTCGGACAAATGGCTGTCCAGTTTCTTCTTAAAAACTTCCAGTGTTGGCACATTCACCACTTCTGGAGGCAGGTTGTTCCACTGGTTAATTGTTCTAACTGTCAGGAAGTTTCTCCTTAGTTCTAGGTTGCTTCTCTCTTTCTTTAGCTTCCACCCGTTGCTCCTTGTCCTGCCTTCAGGCGCTTTGGAAAATAGCTTGACTCCCTCTTCTTTGTGGCAGCCCCTGAGATATTGGAACACTGCTATCATGTCCCCCCTCGTCCTTCTCTTTGTTAAACTAGACATACCCAATTCCAGCAACCGTTCCTTATACAGTATGTTTTAGCCTCCAGTCCCCTAATCATCTTTGTACTCTTTCTAGAGTCTCAACATCTTTTTTACATTGTGGTGACCAAAACTGGATGCAGTATTCCAAGTGTGGCCTTACCAAGGCATTGTAAAGTGGTATTAATACTTCACGTGATCTTGATTGCAAATACTGCAAATACTTTCATTCTCTTTTCACAGGATTTAATTACTAGTTCCTGAATCATCCTGGTTGCCTTTCTGTGAAGTAGTTCCAGTTTGTCCGAATCCTTCTTAAATGGTGGTCTTCAGAACTGTATTTAATAGTTGAGGTGAAATCTCACCAGTGCAGGTATATTTGCAATGCCTTGCAGTGGCAAATTTCCTCCTTGTTACTCAACTATGATTATTTTCAAAGTAGTGCACGTCTTGATTTTTGTTTCAAAAAAATAAGAAACATATTGTGCTGTGAATACTGAGTGGAAGGACAGAGGTTTATTGAGTAACATGTCAAATGTAGAGGTAGCATGAAAAATGTGGTAAGAGTAAGGAATGCAGTTTGACTGGAAAGATGGAAGCATCACTCTCAACTTGGTGTAAACTTAGTGTTTATTTGTGGATACCTAGATCCTCTTGTACTCTATGTACATGAATCTAGTACAACTCTGCTGTTGTTTATTACAAGGTTTTACTTTAAATGCATTTTCTTATGAAACATCAGGAGTGGATATTTGGTGGGCTAAAAAAGGATGTTTACTGAGAAGCCAGATGTTGGATACATATTTTTTAAAAATAGTCATTTTACTGAATAAAGTAAATTTGAAATAGTCTAATTAATAAAGTGTTATTGTAAAATTGTGAATTTATTAACTATCACAATGTTTAATGTGTCTGTAGACACGATTAATTTATGGTGCTGCATCTGCTTTCTAGTTTTCAAGCACTTTAATGTTTAAAAAAATAAATAAAAATTAGTATATAATGTTACTAAATAAAAGCTGAGTGATTTACAGAGTCAGCATATTGCCCCAACATTTTGGGTCCTCATTTTACCAACCTTAGAAGGATAGAAGGCTGAGTCAACCTTGAGCCGGTCAGGATCAAACTCCTGGCAGTGAACAGAGTCAGCCGGCAATACTACAATCTAACCACTGTGCCACCACGGCTCTTATGATGTTTGATTGACCAGCATAACTATCCCAGTAAAGTAGGGGTCCCCAAAGTGATCAATATTGACTTCCAATGGTCAATGTGACTATTCAAAGTCATTATTACTGATAGTACTATTACTTAAAGTAGTATGGGGGGGTCAATGAACAATTTGAAATTTCATGAAGGGGTCAATGAGCTGAAAAGTTTGGGGATCTCTTCAGTAAATCATTAGCATATTTTATGTTAATGAAGTGGCCTCTTAATTAATTCTGGGTTATGGGTTCATGTCTAAGAGATTTGAGCTGTAGTTATTATCCTTATAAACTCAAACTCTGACCAGATGGAAGTATTTATTTTCCAGCTGCCACTTGGTGTCCAAAAGAAGCAGTCTACTGTAGTGGACTGAATGTAGTGCTAAGGTAAGACCAAACCTGAAGCCCAGTCCGGCTTTTAAACTGATCCATTCCCTATTCACTCACCCCAGCCTATTTTTCAGAACTGTAATCATCCTGAAATCTTCAGATGAATAAAAGTTAAATGGATAAATGATGTAGTGGAAGACCTTGGATGATAAGTAACCAGTAATATCTTAAATATTTAACTGACTTTTCAAAACTGGACATAAAACAATAAGTAGACAAGTTTATGAGACCAGCTCTTTTGAAGTAGTTAGAGGTGAAAGTGCACAAATAACAAAAATACCTCCTGGAGAATCTTCTTAAAATAACTCCAATATCAATAAGATTTTCCCCAGGTTTTTGCTTTAAACTGCAGTCATGTGGGAATTTCTGCTTTTATGCAGAATTAATGTACAGAAAACCTCTTGGTTTTGATACACATCAGTTTTGTTTTCTATTTGAAGAGCAGTATACATTTCTGTGATTTACATTACTTCTCAGCCTAGTATCCTCTACATATATCAGTGAATAGTTGCTCAATAAGAATATCTAGAGTATAATTCATACTTGGAGGGCCTTAGAATGGGAAAGATTGATTTAAATATTTCTTACTTCTACAACAGAGATCTATAAATATTCTAATTTATCAGTAGGACAAAGGGATTCATGAAATTCAGTAATTAATCAGACAGTGTCTTTCTGATAGATAGTATCTTTCTGATTAATATGGAAATATATATCAAACTTCATTTCATATGGTAATTAAAAGAAATCTGTCTTCATCACTGCTATCTGACTTATTTGCTTTTTCTTCCTAGGACAAAAATGAGAGACAGACTCTTGGAGTTTTATGAATTATCTAGGCTGTACAGCCAACGTATTGGAGATGATGAGGATGACTTCCAAAGACCTCATGAAACACTTCTGTTTGAAACTGATCATGCCATAGCAAATCTTTACAAAAACATACAAGAGATTCGAACAAGCAATCACCGCCTGAAGGAAGATGTGAAACGCTTGCGCAAACAAAACAGTCGCTTCCTGACATCAATGCGTCGTTTCAGCAGCATAAAGCGAGATACAAACACCATAGCAAAGGACATTAAGGCCCGTGGAGAAGAGATCCACAGAAAACTTCAGGTTCTGAGAGATCTGAGTGAAGATGCGGAAACAAAATATGGTGAAAATGCAATTGTAACCCGTGTGTGCAAGGACCACTATGTCGACCTCATGCACGCTTTTCAGGAAGCCATGTTTAATTACAATGAAACTGAAATGAAAGAGCGAGACAATTGCAAAATTAGGATTCAGCGGCAGCTGGAAATCATGGGCAAAGATGTGTCTGGGAACCAGATAGAGGACATAATTGAGCAAGGCCGATGGGATGTATTCTCTGAGAACCTGCTGTCCGACACCAAAGGAGCTCGCTCTGCCTTGAATGAGATAGAAACCCGGCACAAAGAGCTGATGAAGCTTGAATCGCGAATCAGAGAGGTCCATGAACTTTTCCTACAGGTGGCATTGCTGGTGGAAGAGCAGGCTGACACCTTTGATGTCATTGTGTTCAACATGCAGAATGTCCAAGAATATGTTGGGGAAGCTAAAGAGGAAGTGAGAAAAGCACTTGAATACCGGAGAAAACATCCTTGCCGAACAATCCTTTGCTGCTGTTTATCATGCCTTAAAGGCTAGCTGCCCTCTTGAAGCCACTTGATCAGTGTTATGGGAACGCTTATAATTTGTGCTCATCTCTTTATGGTTATCATATTTATTATTAATTAGATAGGTGTATGCTTCTCATTTGATATGTGTATGAGAACCAAAGGATACTAGCAGTATGATACATACCGAAGTTGGGAACCTGTGACTCTGTAGATGTTATTGGACTACATCAGGGTGTCAAATTCGCGACGTCACGTGACATCGCGCAACATATCGGACCGGTTTTGCCATTGCCGGCAATGGGGTGGACGCGGCTTCAGTATGATGAAACCGGCCCACGGGCCGGCAGTTTGACACCCCTGGACTACATCATATCTGATAATTAGCTAAGCTGGTGGATAGACATGGAGTATGGAAACATCCAAAGAGCCACAGATTCCTGGCCATTCATACAGTATATTTCAACTCATGTAATAAGAAACCAGACTAATGACCCCCATATTGCTACCAAAATGAAAGACATACCAGAACGTATGTAAAACCTTGGAAAATGTTGATGAGGTGGGTAATAAATTATTCCCAAATAAATACATCCTATGGATTTTTAAGGGAGCAATTGCAATTGCCAGGTTTTTTTTTCTTGGAGAAAATAAATATGGAAGAAATTATGAACCCTAATTATAAATTATATATAAACTGTATCACATGGATAATGCAGTTTAGACATCCAGTAGTCATAGCTGATTTTAGAGTTTTGATAAAATAGTATACATTTCTAAAATGCATTGTTATAAAATTAAATGAGAAAAATATTTATTCTGATTATTGTATGAAGATAGTCCTTGCTTTCTGCCCCACAGATTGTCAGGGAAAAAATTGTTGATAATAGAATCCAAGTAATAGGCCAACAACCCCAAAATATGAAAATGAGAAGGTCTCATTTATACAATATGTCAAAGTTAGATTGGAGCTATTATCTCTGAAGCTAATAGCAGCCTGGAAATCTTACAGGAATGACAAGTAGAGGGGATCAGAAATCAGATATTGTGAACTTGTTTGGCTATATCTTGTGCAAGAGTGCATAATGTGCAGCCTAGGATTGCCTGCAACCTGTTAGCATCCCTTTTGTGGCCTCAGCAGATCTCTATAGCAGATGGAATATGACTCATTCTTTAGCCTTTGTTTGAATTTTAGCAGACTGTGTCTGAAGGAGCAAAAGGGATGCTTTCATCTGTATATTGGCTAGGGTCTCTAGGGGAGATTAGAAAAACTACATTAACCTATTAAGCCAAGAAAAAATATCCAAAGCAATAGATCTTCCATGCTTAAGATTTGTTTTAGTCACGCTAGTATATCTGTCTGTTTTTGAGGATGCTCAGAACAGAAAAAGCTAAAACCAAGAACCTCCTTCATTTAATTGTAAAAAGGCCACCTTCAAAAAGAATAATAGGATTCCGTTCATAACTCTGAGACTTGGGTGTGAAATTCAGGCTTTCGGTGTACAATGTTTCTTCAGACAAATGTAAATAAGTGATGTAAACTTGGTTGCAGTATTTTGTAAGTTTATTATAATTAAATCACTAATTAAAATATTTTTCCAAAAATTGATACTTTTTTCATTTATATATTTGCATCTTCTTTTCTAAGTGAATAATCACCATTTTTAAACAATGAATTTTTCGAAGAGTTCTGCTACTGAAATTTATGCTTTTTTGTTAAATAGATGAACAAAACATTACAAATAAGAGTCTTCCTCTTTCTTACATATGAGAACATCAGATTCAGAGCAAAACATTTCTTGTTGTCATTATGATCATTACTGTCATCCTAAACTACAAATCTTTAGGTTATCAATATTCTATGAATCCTCTAGAACAGGGGTCCCCAACCCCTGGTCTGTGTCATGCCAGCAACCGATCTGCACAAACAAGCAAAGCCCCATCTGTGGGATGCAGGCAGCACACAAAACCACACACTCTCTGGTCCATGGAAAAACCTTTCTCCACGCAACTGGTCCCTGGTGCCCAAAAGGTTGGGGACCTCTGCTCTAGAAGAATACGGGGGTAGGCATCTGTGGATCTGATTTGCTTTTTTAACTGGAACCGTAACATCCAGTAACCAACAAATAATGACATGAAGGAAATGCACATTTCTCCTTTCGCACATGCATAATTACTTCTGTCTGCTTTCACCTTTTATTCACTTCAGCAATAATACACAATTTAAATGGAAAGATTATGGGGGGCTACATAACTGCTGATTAAGTAATGAGTCAGAAGTTCTTCCTGATCTATGTAAATCCTCCAGAGGTCTATTAGCTGTCCACATTGTAGAGCACAGGATCTTTATTAACATAATTTTTTAAACTGTTTGTTTGGTTTTGACTTTGCGCATTGTGTCAACCAAACCATTTGTGATTCCTTCAGTAGACCATGATTAAGCCATTAATCAGTGTAATGTATGTATTCACACTGAGAATCTAAATGAATTTATGCAATGACTAAGATGTTTTACTCAGAATAAAGCACAAGTGGCTGAGTTTGAGTAAGAGATTAAGTTACAAACAAACCATATTGTGAGCCAGTTTGGTACATGAACCAGGTCTTTGTCTGAATGTGTGTTCTGCACTGTGTCTGAAATTCAGTGCGTGCAGTAATAAAACATATGTATATTATTGCTTCATTTTGGCTTGCAAGCACAAAATCACGTCTCAGCCCATTTCACATATTAGAACTACATAAAAGTAAAAGCAAAGTAAATTGCTTCAACTAAGTGAATGACAAGAGAGTTGCACTTCCGCCTTGCCCCTCTGATCGAACAAGTACTTTCCTCTAATCAAGGGAAGAGAGGTGTAAATAAAAAACAGGATTCAGTTTGCATACTTCGCTAAAGATATATGGAGACGTGCAATTGTATCAGATGTGAATATGCCATAAATAGAATGAATGAATCTGGGCATCATGTGCTTGCATAGAATGCTTAGGCTCTGTAGATTGTGGCAGGGCTATTTATTTATTTATTTATTTATTTATTTATTTTATGCTGCCCATCTCCCCCTACAAGGTGACTATTTATCCATCCAATTTCTATAGCCATTCATCTCACAAAACACGTGATTCTGGCCAGCAAATAACAAAGCTAAAACAATAAATACCTAAAACTATAATCATCATCATCATCATCATCATCATCATCATCATCATCATCATCATCAAAATATAAAAAGAAAGCTAAGACCAGAAATAGTGGGCAAAGGGACGTTAAAAACAACAGCAATAATAATAATGAAGCCATCTCACTAGCTCTCCAGTCCTCTGGATTCCTTAGGTTGGCTTGCATAACCAAGTCTTGGGGCTTTTGGAAGCTCAGAAGCGATGGAACCAGTTTCATCTCCACAACAGTCTACAGCTCTTTAATCATGCTTAGAGCCCATACATCATTTGTCTGGCAGTTACCACAATTGGTTTGCAGGAACAATATGTGAAGCTAGAGGCTTACATGTTATCCAAACACAACCACTGTCATTTTCAAAGAAGGATTCACACTGTGGTAAGTCAAAAATCATTATAATAATGTTTTATTAGAGAAAGAAGTAATAATTAGAAATAAGTATATGGTGTTTAGTATTATGCATCAATCCAATCAGCATTTGTACATAGGTCAGTGTGTTTTTCATCCAATGGCACTGTAAAAAGTTAGTAGTGGTCATAGCGGCACAATCAAAACCCCTGCTTATTTTGTAGACACGTGGATGTTACACAAATATACAAAGAAGTGTTGCTTTGATCACACTGCCATCTTGACTTTTTGATTCCACCCCCCAATTCTACTGTTCTTGTCTATGCTGTCATTTATTTCCTTATATAAAAAGTTGTGTCTCTATTCTTAGCATTCTTAGCTGATTTTGCACAAATCTGCTTGGTAACTTTCTCTGAAATGCAATGGTTTTGTATCACCTTAGTAAAAAATGACATAATAAACACTAATTTGTTTTTCCTGGACGCTATCCACAGAACCTGAAGGCCACACACAGTTGTGTCATTTCCCTAAGGAAGCACTAGATCTAATTTATCTGTCAAACATATCAATCTGTGTCATTCCCAAATGGATTACTGTAACAGAAAATTACCATAGCTCTATTAACCTTCACAAAGTCAACCTATAAAATGCAGACCACAGAGTGTCACAACAAAAAGGACATGCACTTTAAGAAACTTTTAGCAATTGGGAAATAATTTGAAATGACTTGTGCGATTGCCCAAGTCTGTTTCTTCTTTTTTGTCACATTCTTATTGAAATAATTCTCAGTTGGAATAAAATCATGACTAATGGATTCATATATTGTACTTTATTATATGTTACATTTGTATGCCATTGTTCTTGTAGCTTAGGGTTGAAAAACATGGGGTCCTATAGCCACATTCAGCCTTTGATTTCATTTCATAATTTTAGTGTTTACATTATACTTTAATATAGTCAACATCCTGGATCACATAGATGTTAGTTAGCTGGTTTTGCAAATGTATTTTAATTTTGTCTTAAACTTTATTTTGTTTATCATCTACATGGTCTACAACAGCAATAAACAGAATTGATTGATTGATTTAACTGATTTAATTTCATGTGGACCAACATCATTTCCAAAGTTCTGTCAACTGATTATGTTTGACCTTTAGAAAAGTTATCTGATAACCTGTTGAATGTAGAAGGAAAAAGGAGAGGAAAAAAGGGATCAGAGACCAAATGAAGAGGTTAGGAAAAAAGTAAATAAGTGGCCTCCATCATCTTTGGCTCTGATTTTCTGATTTCTGCAGAAAGCATGTGATGTAATTCCCAGCATATTGCTCATGCAGCTATGTTGTTCTTAACAGATTTTTTTAAAAAAAGTTTGCCTAATCTATCTCTCCTTTAAGAACTCATAGTACACATGATTCTCTCCCACTTCCTACCTGATAACAATCTGTGAGGGAGGTTAAGATGGGAGATAATGAATGATGACCCCCATTTAATCAGCCCCACTGTCTAATGCAGTGTTTCTCAATCTTGGCAACTTTATGATGTATGGACTTCAACTCCCAGCATCCCCCAGCAGGCAAGCTGGCAGGGGAATGCTGGACCTTGAAGTCCACACATTTTAAATTTGTCAAGTTTGAAAAACTCTAGGTCAGTAGAAATGTGAAATCATTAAGATTTCTAAACTGTTAATTAACAGAGCCTATTGCTGCACAATCAAATGAATTGTTAACAT